TATATATTTATCACCAACATTCATTTTATAAAATCTAGATATAGGGTGATTATTTTTCTTCTCCCTTTTTTGTTTCCCCCCCTTCTTTCTCCCTCTCTCTCTCTCTCCTCTCTCTCTCTCTCTCTCTCTCCCCCCCCCTTTTTTCCTTTTTTAATATGGGAAGCTAATATTGCCACCCAACAGGAACTAACCCAGAGGCCTATGTATATCACTGTACAAAAAAGTCTTAATCACAAGTTGATTTTTCACCGAAGAAGCTCTAGGCTGTGAACTTAAATTCTGCTTTGAGTTTTTGTTTGTTTCTCACTTCTCTCTCTGCTCTTTCTTTCTTTTTTTTTCTTGACCGCTGGGGGAAAAAAAAATCTCCATCGAAAACTCTGAGAACAGGGAACAAGTTGCCAAATGAGAAGTTGGAAATGGGTACTAGTTTCTTTTGCTAACAGGAATAGCAAAAGATGACCCTTCATCACCATGACTTAAGTTCACTCATCTGTCCACAGGTAGCTTTTATGGACCAAATGACATGCGAGTCCTAATTTTGTGACTCAAAGCAACTTATGTGCTTGCACCATTGAGGTCTCTCAATGCAAGTGCAAAACGGAGTCATTTGCGAGATATTTTGATCTATTCTTTTGAGAGTATCGTGGCTTGTTACCCACATTTACGCTTCTGCTTGAACAAGGATTCTCACTGCTCACGTCATATGAAACTTGATAGTAGCCTTGATAGTACAGTGGTCTACGCACCCTGTTATTAACACAGCTGCCTGCAATTTACTGCTGGTTCGAATCTCTACAAGGCTCAAGGTTGACTCAGCCTTCCATCCTTTCTAAGGTAGGTGAAATGAGGAGCCAGTTTGTGGGGGCAATAAGCTGACTTTGTATAAATATACAAAAGGATGAAGGCTATTGCTTAACGCATTGTAAGCCGCCCTGAGTCTCTGGAGAAGGGCGGCATATAAATCAAATTAAAAAAACAAAACAAAACAAAACTGAAAAGCAAGTGGTCATTCTCCATCTAAATTTCTCATGATACATTAGGTTGGAGGCCAACCTAATATTTAATGATGAATAGAATAGAATAGAGCTGGAAGAGACCTTGGAGGTCTTCTAGTCCAGCCCCCTGATCAAGCAGGAGAACCTATACAATCTCAGACAAGTGACTGTCTAGTCTAAGGATTGGCAACTTTAAACACTCAAAGATCCATTTGGACCCATTACCCACAGAAAAGAAAACACCGGGAGCCATAGAGGTCCTAACCGGAAGGCCCTCCCCCCCCGCCATTCAATTCTGGAGCTGACCGGAAGTTCAGTTTCCCCACCATAGAGTCTCCTCCTAGCGTGGCGTCCTTTCTCCTCTACCTGTCCTAACTGAAAGCCCTATCAATTGTGTAGCTGACAGGAAAACTTGCCCCTTGCCATAGAGTCTCCTCCTGGTGTACCGTGCTTTCCCCCACCAACCAGAAGATCCTCTCAAAATTGTGGCCCCGACTGGCAACAGAGAGCTGCAACAGAGGGATGAAAGAGCCACAAGTGGCTCCAGAGCCACGGATTGCTGACCCCTGGTTTAGTCTCTTCTTAAAAACCTCCACCATCTTGAAAATATATTGAATTGAAAAGAAAAACAACAACGGAGAGGGAATGGAGAGAGGAATAGAGGGCTAAATAGGAAGAAGAGGGGAGAAGAGAGGAAAGGAGGGAGAGAGACAGAAGAAAGGGAAAAGGAGAGGAAGAAAGGGAGGGGAAACAAGAGTAGGAGAGAAGGTTAGAAAGAGAGGAAGAGGGGAGGAGTGGGGGAAAGGAAGGAGAAGGAGAGGAGGACAGAAGAAAGTGGAAAAGAATAGAAGAAGGGACGGAAGGGAAAGAGAGGAGAAGGAGAGGAAGGGTTGTTGTGAAATCAGGAAGATATGGAATGGTAGAAGAGCAACCCCGAGTATACTTTAAAATTTTAGGAGGAAGACTGAACAAATATGAAAATCGAAAGATAATATGTATGATTAAGAACTGGCTAAGAGATTGTACACTTGTGTATGTTTATGAGAAATAAAAATTTAAAAAAACTTTCAAAAAAACCCCAAAAACCCTCCAGTGATCGAGCATCCACGGTTTCTGGAGGCAAGCTGTTCCACCGCTTAATTGTCCTCACTGTTAGGAAGTTTCTCCTTAATTCCAGGTTGCTTCTCTCTTTGATCAGAGATGTTGGCTTGGTCCACCAAAGCTCTATGAAGCTTTCCTTGCCAGGCACTTGTTTTTGGGGACTTGAAAGAAACGAGAACTAGCCTATTCCAATTATTATTATAGAATTAGAGTTTGTTTCACTTAAGCATAATCATTTAAGCAAAAGGGTAATTGTGTTGAATTAGAAAAATCTTAAAAGAAAGAGTTTACCCAGCTGTGCAGGTCAGGTAGATAAAGTTTGTTAACACTTGCCATTTCAACAGAAATCCAACATCTGTCGTAGTTTTTATTTTAATTGTTCACTCTTCTGGCCTTAAGTCAGTTCCCTCTTTTTTGAACCCTAAATAACATCCCACAAGATAACACCCAATTTGAATCCTCCATTGCTTTTTTCCCCTTTTTCTTTTTGTTTTGAAGGACTGAGATTCTTGCTGCCAAAAAGACCTCAGCAACGCCAAAATACAGTTCAATCAATTTTCAGTGGGAAATGAAAGAGAACTGGGAGGTTGAGGCTCCAACTGGCTTTTTGTTAATTGTATTTACAGTCAATAGCCAGCTGTCCATTTCGTATGACAAACAATAAAAGCCATTAAGAGAGGAGGGTGGGGGGAGAAAGAAACTTTTCCAAGTGCTACTAAACTGTATAGAGTTGGCAAACAAAGATATAACCACAGCTTCCAAATAGACCTCAATGGTTATGGAGCAGAAAACAACCTTCTTCCTGAGATGAAAGCCACTCCAATCATTATCCAGTTTAGAAAGACCATTAAGCTCTGATTGTTCCTGACAATCCTTTGGAGGCTAAAAGGGATGTGCCCTCCTACGATGGGTGATGGTTTATCCTGAGACCATGTCTCCCCAGTGTGATGGGGTTAATTATGAATAAGTATTGTGCAGGGACGTGGTGGCTTAGTGGCTAAGACGCTGAGCTTGTCGATCAAAAGGTTGGCAGTTCAGCAGTTCGAATCCCTAGCGCCGCATAACAGAGTGAGCTCCCGTTACTTGTCCCAGCTTCTGCCAACCTAGCAGTTCGAAAGCACCTAAAAAATGCAAGTAGCAAAATAGGGACCACTTTTGGTGGGAAGGTAATAGCATTCCGTGCGCCTTTGACATTGAGTCATGCCGGCCACATGACCACGGAGATGTCTTTGGACAGCGCTGGCTCTTTGGCTTTGAAACGGAGATGAGCACCGCCCCCTAGAGTCGGGAACGATTAGCATGTATGTGCGAAGGGAACTTTTCCCTTTACCTTTTATTGGTCAATGGATTATTTTAACTGCTGGTATGGATCGGTGGTGAACGCTGCTTAGAGCTGATTGTGATTGAAGCGGTTCTAAACTCGAGCAATTAAAATTAAGTAAACTTGGCAGCCTGGGTTAGAAGCTTTTAGCCATAGGGCAGCAAGTAAAAATATGTTTTATTGATCAAATTAATGGTGGTAAAAGATACCTGCCAGATGCAAATAACCAGAAAGATTTGGTGAGTTCAAAGCACTGAAGAATTTATTATTGCTACCTCTAATACAAGTATATAGTCAATGAATGGTCAAAGCTAAACTGATGCTAGATAAGGGTCACATAATTCATGGGAAGTTAGATTTAGATCTCTCGTGGCAACACAATGATTCCAAACTGATGACATCCTTAACCCCGCCTTCCAGCTCAGCCTCCTCTTTTCTTACAGTACCCCCTCCCATGCACATGTAAAACTGTATTCACTATCAAGTTTATGAGATGCTCCACTCCTACATGAAGAGTCCCTTGGGAGTTGGGTGGCATAGAAATATGATTAATTAAATTAAACTGCTGAAAATGCTAATGTAAGAAAGGTTATAGGTCTCATCAGCCAAGGTGGGGGGCCAGGAGACATGCCTTCTCTCCCACAGCCCCTGTTCTCTGGAAAAATCTCCCTTCAGAAGAACAGCGGGAGCCTGTTCCCAGTGTGCGCATGTGCAGAGCTGCCAGAAGACAGGAACAATTAAGAAAATGGGATCGATTTGGGAGTAAGGCTTGGAGATGATTGGCCCCTCCCATAAGACATAAAAGAGGAGCGAATGGGATGTGAGCTTTGCAGGAAGCAATTAGTTCATCTGGTCGGTTAAAGCTTTGGGAAAGTTCTGTTTGACTCTGTGCTAAATTTGGGTTTGCCCTGCGTGTGGCAATTAGTTCTCTGGCAGCATTCCAAGGGAGATAAGGTGGGTGTTTGTAAACACTCCCTTGAAAGACTGTTTGAGAAGCCTTTCGGACTGGGAATGACAATAATTCACAGCCATATGAATAAAAGAGGTTTGCCAGGACTAAGATTGTGCTGTATGCTTTCTAAGGAAGCCTAGGTCAGAACAGGCAGGAGCTGAGGCAAGTAACGGGAACTCACCCTGTCATGCAGGGCTCAGGTCTTCAAGCCGGGCTGTCAGCTTTCCATCTGACAAGCTCAACATCTTTAACCACTGAGCCATCATACCCCCCCCCCCCCAGTTTCCTAATACAATTAGCAAATTTTACTCCACACAGCTCTATGGAAAAGAGTTATCAGGTTGGCTAGTTATAAGGATAAGATACTGGCTGTGGAGCAAGCTAAGCTCAGGCCAGGATTATCTATCCCCCAATGCCTACATTGCCCTGAATCAACTAGCAGAAAATTATTCTACCCACTCACAAGCATCATCTTTATGGATTAAAGGGAGCATTTGATTCAATCCCCCGAGATCGGCTATGGATATGCTTGTCAGCTTCTGCTATCGATCAAATAGGCTTCATATAACTATAAAAGTTTTTAGACTCTTCAAACCGTCCCTAAATGTGAAAAAAAAAAAAAAGACCCACAAAGTTTGCAAAACTCAGCCTTGTTTCTTCTTAGTGATACCATTACATCACTGCTTATCCATTTGGTCACCGAAAGAAAATAACAGTAAAGTAGCAGGGCATCGCTCTCTTGTAATAGCCTGAAAAACAGCAGTGGCTTCTTTTAGCTGGGATGCTTAAATTGTGTGCAACAGTCTCTGCTGTTTGCTTAAAAAAAACCCACACACACATACAAAAAAAACCCCTCACCTAATCACTTTCCTCTTTGACATCGCTTTTTTGCTGGATGCTTATCGATCCTATACATCTCTCGTTTTTTCATCATTTCTCTCTTGATTTTCTTCTGCTGGTGGTTGGGCTTTGAACAGTTTTATTATGATTGCTCTTTTCTTGAGGGCCTCAAAAATAGGAAGATGGAATATTATATGTTCTGTAACCTGTGGAGGAAATAACATTCGGAATGGGTTATTTCATGCCATCCTTTATCCGTGACTTTTTATGCTTGTGCAGGAAGGTAATGTCAAAGCATGATTCCTGATCCATAACTTTCACGAAGAGTGTTAGGGGCTCCTTGACTGATACGATGGCTAATTCAACTCAAGGAATTATTGATGTGGTTATGGAGTATTTATTGCCTTCTGATGCCAGATTTATTTTTCTTTGTCTGAAAATCTTGAGTGTCCACCGCCAGCAGCCAGCAGAGCTGGCGGCAGATTCAGACAGTGAGGAGGTTGGGGAGGAACATGGGCCAGTTCTGGAGTCTGGGGAAGGCAGAGGGCTCTGCATCAAAGGCAGAGAGGGGGCCAGGGCCGTATGCCAGTTATCAGCTGCCTTCAGAGTCAGACATCAGTGAGGCAGAGGAACAGCTGGAACCTGTTCCCACTGTGCACATGCACAGAGTTGACGGATGAAAGGAACAGCTAAAGAACAAGGTTCGACTTGGGAGTAAGGCCACAGGTGGATGATGAAGGGCCCCTCCCAGAGGGAATAAAAGAGGAGCGAAAGGGGAGTGGAGTTTGCAGGAGACAATTAGTTCATTCCTGCATTCTTGCCAAGTATTGCGGCATCTGATAGATATCGGTCTGGCCACTCTCCAAGCCTGATAAAGATCGGTCATTGTGAACTTTCTTGAAAGACTGTGGGAGAGGAAAGACTTTGCTGGAGAGGAATTCACTGTAAATTAAATAAAAGAGGTTTTATTGGGATGAGGACTTGGCTTCATGCTTTTGGGAAGCCTAGGTCAAAACACAATATGAGAAAGCTTTGCCTTCAGCCATTTTTATGCTCTGTCCAAAGAAACCTGTTTTTATTCCATGCTGACTGTTTATTTACTATTACTTTCCCCCCCTCAAATCAGTTAATAGCCATACAGTCACAAAGGGCTTTCTGGAATCACAGGACATGATCCAACTCACAGCACACACAAAACACCTCTTGCGATTTTTCTCTCTCCTCCTTTATTAGCCCAGCAAGCAACATTAAATACTTCGTTTTGTTCTCAAGCATGAAATATAACTTTGGGCACTGAAACCCTTCTCCCTCCCCCCTTTCTGGCAAGTAACAGGGCAAGTCAATAAACAGGCTGATTTATGCATATCTAGCCAAGCATTTAAAAGTTAACTCTCGGTGCGAGCAAACTACAGTGTTGTCTCAAAGTATATGCAGGCATGGCTATTCTCATGTTAGCTAAAAATTAAGCGAGGGGTATATTTATGCTGGGTCTCTCTTTGTCTCGCTCATATTTTCTTCTGCTGTCTGCCTGAATGTGACCTTTCTCTTCTTCACTTTCCATAAAAGCTATCTGGATGAGTAGAGCAGTCCCTTCCTGTGGTTCTTTCTTCTCACTGAAGATTTCACTTTTCTGAAATCCCAACCTTAAAACCAGGGATGAAATGTTACCGGTTCAGAACTATTCGGGCAAATCGGTAGTAAAAAATGCTACCGGTTCCGGCAAACCGGTATTTCCGATGATCATCTGGGTGACGATCAGCTGTGACATGCAATTTATATTAGCTAGAATCGTCAGATTTCCTGCTTTCTAACTAATCTAAATTGTGTGGCACAGCAGATTCCTCTCCCCTCGCTGTTCTACTTACCTTTGCAGACTCGGAAGGCTTCAAAATGTTCCTTTTTTAGCGCTGTGCAGGTGCGCGCTCGGTAGCAGACTCACAGAACTGGTAGCAGACTTCAGAGGATTTGACCGCTGCTTAGGACCCAGTGAGAAGGAAGAGCCACAGGAAGGGACTGGTCTACTCATCCAGATAGCTTAACCTTCTTCAGTGGTCAACACTGTCTCGATTCCACCTTGGTTGGAAAATTGTTACTCTTTTTTTCAATCTACAATCAATTAGAATATGGAATGTGGAATGTGGAATAATAGGGGTGGAAGAGACCATGGAGATCTTTTCTTCAACCACCTCCTTAAGCAGGAGACCTATACCATTCTGGGCAAATGGTTGTACAATCTCTTCTTAAAAGCTTCCAATGATGGGACACCCACGACTTCTGCAGGCAAGCCCTTCCACTGATTAATTATCCTCACTGTTAGGAAGTTTCTCCTTAATTCCAGGTTGCTTCTCTCCTTGATGTGTTTCTATCCATTTCTTGTCCTGCCTTCTGCTGCTTTGAAGAATAGATCAGCCTTTGCTTCTCTGTGACAGCCCCTCAAGTATTGGAAGACAGTTTATCATGTTCCCCCTAATCCTTCTCATCATTCGCCAAGGCATACCTCCTCCTCCTCCTCCTCCTCCTCCTCCTCCTCTACCACCACCACCACCTCCTCCTCCTCCTCCTCCTCCTTCTTCCTCTTCTTCTTCCTCTTCCTCCTCTTTTTCTTCTTTGAATTCTTCTTTTTGTGCCATATCTGTCATGGGACGTTGGCAATCATGTTGGCAATCCTATTTTTGTCAACAGCCTCATGAAAAAGTGCTGCTGAGTTTTGCCCAAACTGGTCCCTTAGGTTTTGAAGCCACAATGTTCTTCTTCTGCCTGGACCTCATTTGCCTTCAATCTTTTCCTGGAGGATTAAGTGAAGGATGCCGTATTTTTCTGGGTGTCGCATCACACGTCCAAAATATTCTAACTTTTGCCTTTTACTGGCTTTGATGATTTCCCTTTGCTTTCCCAGGCATACCTAGCTCCCTCAATTGTTGGTCATATGGTTTAGCTTCTAGACCAGGAGTAAAATGCACTTACCTTCGCTAGCGGATCGGAAATGTGAGCGCGCGCACCTCTTCTGCACATGCGCAGAGGGTCAAAAATGGGACATGATGACATCCCGGCGAGTGGGCGGAGTCTCCCACCGCTGGCCCTACTGGCTCGTATGAGCTGGATAGATCCGGCCAGATTTCATTGCTTTTCTAGACCCCTGGTCATCTTTGTTGCTCTTCTCTGCACTCTTTCTAGGATCTCAACCAGAACTGGACATGGTATTCCAGTTGAATTGAATCAATCTGCAATCAATCTTTTGATCTACAATACATTGAATTCAATCTCTTCCTTTTTTTTTTTTCCAGAGTTCTTGAAGTCTCTAGCTTGCCAGCACAAGCTGCTAGCCTAACTTTCATAGAGGAAAATTTATATTCTATTCTATTGTGTTTTGGGTTTGGCTCCTCTTCCTCTTCCTCTTCCAGTTCTATTCTTAATAGTAACAGAGTTGGAAGAGACCTTGGAGGTCATCCAACTCCCTGCTCGCGCAGGAGACCTATACTAGGGATTCGAACCACCGAACTGTTGACCTTTCTGATCGACAAGCTCAGTGTCTTAGCCATTGAGCCACCTAGCCAGGTTTTTGTTCTGCTCTGCTCTGCTCTGCTCTGCTCTGCTCTGCTCTGCTCTGCTCTGCTCTACTCTCAAAGTCTGCTAAAAAAGAACAATATCTCTGTCTGGGTAGAGAATTGAGAAGATGACTGTTGTCACATATGCTGCGTCGTATTGTCTTTTCTTCATTTACGCTGTCTTTAAAAAAAATATTTTGCCGCAATTATTGTTTCTAATTCTTTTTCAAGTGCAATGTTTTTTTTTCCATCTTCCACCCAGTCTTTCAGCTGTTTGTCTTGTTATAATAGCTTTAGGCAATAAAATCAGGTAGATAACAGACATTTCCAGACTGCATTTCACGGAGCCATCTCTCCCTTCCCCCCCCCCAATCCTTTTTGGAATAGCAACTTTTATCATTTTGGAAACCAAGCTTAATATCGCCTTATGGTCTGTTCAGATATTCAACAAATGAGCTTTTCCATTTCCATTAAATCCCCCCACCCCCCAAAATCATTACCGCAATAAAAAGTCTTTTTGTGTGTATGTTTTTTTTGTCGGTGACATCTACATTGCGGCACTCAAATGCAAATTGGCAGAGATCTACAACAAAAACTTGGCACGCAACCTGGGACATCTTGTTCATGTTTATCTTGCTATCTAGGAGTTCAATAGATCTGTATTAAAATTAGCCTTGAATCGTATCATAAAAGGGGAGAGAAAAGGAAGACTTTAAAAAGAGAGCGGTGGAAGTGAAGAGAGAAATGATTTTGAATGGTAGCTTTGGGACTTGCTCTTCCATGAGTTAGAAATGAATTTGACAGATTAGAGACATTGTCTGGTGGCTCTAACAGATTGGCAAATATTTAAATTCCATATTGTTTCTTCCACTGAAGTACAATACAGATAATAATTAATAGGGTATTATCAGTGTTTTTTTTCTTCTTTTTCTTCCTGTAAATTAATCCTAGTTATTAGGCAGGTAGGTGATGAAGCAAATGGCTGAAACTATTTTAAAGAAACCTTTTAATCACTATCTTGGGAAGTATCTTTATTTTATTTTATTTTTTGCTAATCCTCCGGATTTTCATTTCCATCGGCATCTTTTAATAACGTAAATCCCAGCTTGCTCTGATATAATGCCAAACTGTGCTTCATGCTGAAACATTACAGCTTCAAGACTTGCTATCTGTGTTCGCACATCATGGGGAAACCATGGACAGCTTTAACTATGATGTGCCAAATAAGCCCCCTTGTGTCTGTAGTCTCGTATAACACTAAGCCACAAACTGTGGTTTCTGGAGCCCAATGACTGAATTCTCACAAGCAAAAATTCTATACAAATTGTATGATAGCTTAGCACCCTTTATGAATCCAACCATTCTGTGTTTTGATGTAGAGAGTGGCCTCTCTATAGCAATTCTTTAGAGAGAGGGTGTCCAACCTTTGTGTTGTGGCCCACTGGCGGCCAGTGGAACTGGTGGCAGACTTGGACAGTGAGGAGGTTGGGGAGGAACATGGGCCAATCCTGGAGTCTGGGGAAGGCTCTGATGAGGGCTCTGTGTCGGAGGCAGAGGTGGGGCCAGGGCCATCTGATAGTTGTCAGCTGCCTTCAGAGTCGGACATCAGTGGGGCAGAAGATCAGCTGGAGCCTGTTCCCAGTGTGTGCATGTGCAAAGCTGCCAGGAGAAGGGAACAGCTAAGGAACAAGGGTCGACTCAGGAGTAAAGCCACAAGTGGACGGTGAATGGCCCCTCCCATAGGGAATAAAGAGGAGCAAAAGGGGAGGGGAGTTTGCAGGAGACAATTAGTTCAATTCATTAGAGTGAAGATCTGTTCCTGGCTTCTTGCCAAGTCTTGTCTGCTACAGAGTGGCGTTTGGAAGATATCGGCCTGGCCGCTCTCCAAGCCTGATAAAGGTCTGTAGTGGTGAAATCTCCTGAAAGACTGTTTGCCGGGACTTTGCTGGAGAGGAATTTCCCTTTAACCTAAATAAAAGAGGTTTTATCAGGATGAGGAGTCTGCTTCATGCTCTTGGGAAGCCTAGGTCAGAATAGTTTGGCAATGTTAAAACCTGTGGACTTCAATTCCCAGAATTCTCCAACCAGCATGGGAGAATCCTGGGAGTTGAAGTCCACAAGTCTTAAAATTGCCAAGGTTGGACACCCTTGCCTTAGAGAAAGCTGAAGACTGGCCGAATACAGAAAGGACAATCACTGTACTTTCATTCTGCAGGAAATTGAAACTATGATTCTACATAACATCCCTATTAAACAGAAAAGTGCGCAGGCCATGTTTTTAAGTTTCATTAAGCCATTCCCCACTTCCTGGAATAGATAAGTGGGTTTACGTTTAAATTTTGTGGAGTTTTGAAACAATCACAGGAATATATTAAATAAAATATGGAGTTAGATCAGTGGTGAAATCCAATTTTTTTTACTACTAGTTCTGTGGGCGTGGCTTAGTTGGTGTGGTGTGGTTTGGTGAGTGTGGTTTGGTGGGCATGGCAGGGGAAGGATACTGCAAAATCTTCATTCCCACCCCACTCCAGGAAAAGGATACTGCAAAATCCCCATTCCCTTCCCACTCCTGGGGGAAGGATATTGCAAAATCTCCATTCCCATCCCACTCTGGGACTAGCCAGAGGTAGTATTTGCTGGTTCTCTGAACTGCTCAAAATTTCCACTACTGGTTCTCCGAACTGCTCAAAATTTCCGCTACCAGTTCTCCAGAACCTGTCAGAACCTGCTGGATTTCACCCCTGAGTTAGATGCAGCTGCTGCTGATTTCTTAAAATTTCCCATATTTGTTCTCTTTTCCACTTGATCTCTGGCATGCTAAAAAGAACAACCTCTTTTATTTATTATTTTAATCCATTTGAACACACCGAAGTCCCTTGTTACCCTACAATTAGGTTTCCAGTTTCGGTTGCTCTGTGAACTGTTGGCGATAAAACAGATAAGAAAGCGAACAGCTTAAATTTCAACTCCCAGGCCGAGATGTTAAAGTCGATGGCAGAACAATTGTTTTGCAAAAGCCTAGGAGCCACTGTGAATGTATCGGTGTACATGCATTAGATTGTCTTTGTAGTTATTCTGTTTTTGTCAGGGTAGTTAATACAGTAACGAAATTATCAAATCCAAGTGATCAAATGAACGGAACGCATAAAAGTGTATGTATTCTGGAGGATGAAAATTGTATGAGTCAGGATGCGAAGGTTGTTGAGAGTGTGGTTGCGCGACAGCTACCCCAGTACCTGGATGAAGCGGCGTACCTAGATCCGTTCCAGTCGGGCTTCAGGCCTGGGTACAGCACGGAAACGGCATTGGTCGCGTTGGTTGATGATCTCTGGAGGGCTCGGGACAGGGGTTGTTCCTCTGTCCTGGTCCTGTTAGACCTCTCAGCGGCTTTTGATACCATCGACCATGGTATCATGCTGCACCGGTTGGAGGGGTTGGGGGTGGGAGGCACCGTTTTACGGTGGTTCTCCTCCTTTCTCTCTGACCGGTCGCAGTCTGTGTTGACAGGGGGGCAGAGATCGACCCCGAGGCCCCTTATATGCAGG